TCAGAAGCGTGTTGTATAATTACACGTTGTATTTTTTTTTTTTAATAACCGGTCGTTAGATTTATCTTAATTTTGATAATGCAACAGGGTAGCAAGTAGCAAAGTACACTAAAAAGACATGGGCAAAATAAGTAAATTTGAAAACCAAAAATCTTCATCCATGGTTTGAAACAGTTGGATGTTCAGCTTTGGCGAAGCATTAATAATATAATAAATTGGTGATTAATTAAATTTATAAAATTTATGTTAGTTATCAACTGGTAACACACAATCGGGCGTTTTCAAAAGCAAGTAGAGTTAAAAAAACGGATTATTGGTTGAATTTGATATGTTTCAAATACTCTTTGAAATCATCTCCCTTTTATTATAGCTTCCGCCTGACACTGCATGTATAATCGGTCACCCTGCATAATTTTTATTTTACTTCGTCGTTTAATTGAGTACTTTTTATTTTCTTTCGCATTTTGATGATATATTTTATGATTTAAGAACTACCTACCTGTTCTTTTATAAATATAAAACAGTACACATTATAAATATGTACATTAAATTTAATTAAATTGTGTTTTTTGTTAGTATCAATATCGAATTTAATGATCTAAAAAATTATAAAATGGCTTGAAAAACCATAAATTGTGGTACTTTCAGATAATTTGTAGTTCTAGTGAAACATTTTGTGTACTAGTAACATATACATATGTATTTTACTTTTAAAATGTATTCCTTAATCGATCAAATTGGACAGGGTAAAAGCAATGCTAAATAGGACGGTCTTAATTAAATTAATTATGTTTCGGTATTTATGTATTAATATACACTTTCTGCAGTGGATAGGGGTAAATGTTCTGTAATTATTCGGAACCCTTGTAAACATTAACATTAAAAAAAAGCAGTTTTAAGTAGCATTGCTCTCGTTACACTGTATTTACATGGAATTGAAAAAAACAGCATCGACCGCACAAGGACTAACAGATTTACACAAAATTAATTTTAAAGTAATTATTTCTAGTCAATTCGTTCATTTAAAGTTGATGTAAGTAGTTAATCTATTTAATGATCTTTTCCATTTTATTCCTTGACGTCAACTTTATTTGTAAGAGTAAAACTTTGTAAGAGTAAAATGGATCAAAAATGTGTATTCAACCACAACTTCATAAGTGGTATATACATTTTTCGTTTTAGACCAGGGCCCGATCTAAGGGGGGGGGGAGGCAGCTGAGTNTTGTATTTCTCATCAAGAATCATCATTAAAACTAATTCCACAAGGTCAAGGGTCTCGAAAAGATCTACCCGCCCGGAGCTTCGCAGTGATTAAGGCCGCCCCTGCCCATCATCATAAGTTTGTCAGTCCTAAGACTGATTGGACACACACCTCCACTCTTTTCTATCCTGAGCTAATCTTCGCATTTCCCTAAAAAAAAACATCCCACATCCTTAACTAACCCAGTAATCTAATCTAGATCTGCCTCTACCCCTCCTAACTCCCGTTTCTGCCTCTAATATGTCTCTGACTAGACCTTCATGCCTAAGAAGGTGTCCTACCAACCTATCTCGCCTATTCCTTATTGACTTCCACAGAGTCCTCTGCTCTCCTATTCTTTCTAATTTCTCTTCAATTGCTAACCTTCTATATAGTCTATTTGAGGATACCGGGCGGTTGCACAGAGAGAAAACTGTTATAAAAATTACAAGGCTCAATAACCCGACAACAAAAGTATTTTTAAGTTTTTTTACTAATTACTTTTTCAACTAGAGGCTGTATGTAAGTTTTGAGACAGGCCATTAGATTTTAAAGTACTGTCTTATAATTTTCTTAACGCCGTCTCCTAATAAGCATCCAAACAGGAAGAAAAACAGGAAAGAAGCAACAACATTTTTAAGCACCAGAAATTTTTACATTTTACATTTCTGAACTAGCAACCCTTTTCGTTTCATTTATGTATCACAAGGAATCGACACCTACGTTGAGAGAGAAGTAGTTATTTCCGATAGTTTGTATATAGGTAATATAATTATTTTTGGGGAATACCCTATTATCCTACAACGCGGCGTTTTAAGGAATTCCCCAAATTGATTTGCTTGTCTATATACTTAAGCAAAAATTCGAATATTATTTTCTCATTAGTTTAACACAGTTTTCTGGAGACTCCTAGTAGTAGTATGCGAATATTATACAATTTCAACAATATTACATACATACGTCTGTCGGTTAATAATTGCACTATCCCATCTCTGGAACAAGATGCTAATGACTTATATAAAGTGTCATTATAAAGGCTGGCAAATATTATTTTTGCCTGGATCTAGCTCTAGATCGGGCCCTGTTTTAAACAAACATAAATTGTCCACATTTCACTATACAAATTTACCCAAACAGGTATCAAATTTTTCTCGTTTTTGTTCCACAAACAATTAGTTTCCTTAATGATGTGGAATCAAAAGAAAAATAAGCTTTACCCTAATGGATTAGAAAATATACAAACTACTAAAAAAGAAAGTGGTTTACGTGATAAAATAAGGCCGTAAGAAAATTAGTAAATGTTAATAGAAATCATAAATGTTTATTATTGTCGAAATGACCTAAAATTATATAGAAACAAGTATTTATGGTAAATGTTCTGTTTTATTCGAACAGATGTATGTGAAAATGTTAACTTTTGAAAAGCCAAGGCTTTCACAGCCAGCGTTATCTGAAGACGAACTAGGGACCTCGTTATTCTGGCTTGATGGCGTGAGACCACAATTGATTCTCCAACTGTAGTTGTACTACGTTTCCTGAGAGTCAAAGTCACCAAACAAGAGAATCAATCGTGGACCACGACCCTTATCAAGCCTGAATATCAAACCCTCTTCAGGTTGTTAATTTTTAATATACACATACATATATTGCACATATTAGTGAGAAGTTTTGCCTAAATACTCATAACTTTTTTAATATCGTATATTTCAAATTGTAATTATTATTAGTTTATGTAAGTATTCTACAATACAAAATAAATCAACATCATCGATCATGTGGTATATTACCGATGTATACTACTCTGTATTATAATTGTGTTTCCCTGTTTTTTTTTGTTAACTTTTTTTAGCAGAAACAAACTAATATACATTGCTTAGTTATTCTGTGGACTAAGGTAACATTTTGTACCTATATATACATTAACTAGTTAAATTTCATTAAATTAGTATAATTATTTATTTTGTTATTATATTCATGTAAAACCTTTTTATATCTCCCAGTAAAATTAACATAAATATATACTTAATAACTCGTCAACCACCTACACATGTATGTTAAGGCATAACGTGTAGTATTTATCAAGAGTTACTTAACTACTTGAATAATAATTATGAATTTCGTTGATCATAATAAAGAAAATATCAGAAACGATCTAGATGTTTCATGTTTAACAATTAAAAAATCCTTTTACCAATGTATTACTTATTTTGAGCCATCCTGTATTTTCAAATGTTTAGACAACCGAACAATCACCTGTAACATCGAAATATATAACTCTTCATAAAAAAGAAGCTTTCTACCAATAATATTCTGAAATTGGTTAAAATTTTGTTTTCCTAAACGCATGAAAACTAAACCTACTTACTCTCTTTAATATCTTAACAAAATTTCTCTTCTCAGTTTCAATAACACCAATTATGTAGCTCATTACAGCTTTATGGGTTATCCTTTCAAATTTAACTGCATTATCAATCAATCCGAACTTTTGTTACCAACAGGAACTGATACTTCGAAAATACGACAAGGACTCAAAAACTGTTTTTAGGAGAGATTAGGAACTGTGGTAATCATACTATGCCGACCTGTCCATCGCTCCGATTGAAAACATTTCCTGTTTCCTGGGATTTCCAGCTGTTCCAGAATCGTACAATTTGAACTTCTAGGAGCAAGGTAAAAAAAATACAAAATTTTAATTATTATTGATATATTTATCTATAAACGACAGGTTAACGTTTACAAACTATTATGTAAAAAACGCAACATATTTTCTTTTTTTTTTTTAATTTGTACGTTCGATACAAGAAAAATTAAAAATGTATTATCAATGTTTCATCTCGCAAAACGGGCGCGAAATATGTATGGGTTTACATACTCTGATGAAATGAGCAAGCCACACTTTAAATTATTCTTTTTTTATATGAATGAAGTGTTTAGTTATAATTGCGATAAAATTGTCCAGGAAAAAAATTCCTAAGATATCCGACTTTCTCAGAATAAAAATTATTTCTTGCGATTTTCATATACAGTAAACACCCTGAACAAAGTTAATAATTTTAGAATTTATTAAACCATAAATAGTTTTAATGGCCTAGTTAATTGCACTATTTTGTCCATAATTTATAATTAATTACAATTTCAACTGTTCTTTTTTGTTTTCAATTTCATTTAAGTATTTTATTGGTGAAGTTCTGCAATTATCAGAAATAAAACTTTCCTTGAATTAAATCAATATTTAATTAATTAGTAAACTTGTTTAAGAAAACTATACAATAATCTTCAGTACTTCTTTTTAAGAATAGAACAAAAAGCCACTTTTACTTTCATTAATAAATGTAGAAGGTCCGTTACTTATAACACAATTCAACTTTTTATTAATAATATAATACTTGTCCTTTATTTACCAACATCACAATGTAGAGCAATAAAAAATAGTACTATTTACATAACAATCTATTAAATTAAATTAATTACAAAATGTTTGTATAAGGACACTAGTTTATTTTGGTGAATAACAAAAAAGAAGTATAAGTATAATAAAAATAAAACTACATCATAATATGATGATCTTGACAGAAAAAAAAAACTTGTATTTGCTGCTACTGAATCTTATGTAGGGTAAATTTATGCAAACATTTATTTTTTCCAGTCATCCTTTTCATAATCCCATTTTGATGCAATACCTTCAATTGGATTGTTCTGGATGTCAAGCATTCTTCTTAACTGTGCTTTACGGCTTTCTTCACTAAAGCTGTCCGGTAAAGGTGAATATACTAGAAAAATTAAAATTCAAAATAGTAAATTAGAAACCACATATAAGATTTTAAAAATGTATTATATACCCCACAGTTTCATTGCTAGATATATCCAAATTGCCAATGAGGAAAATAATAAAGCAACTCCTATGGTCATCTTCCATTCTCCAGTTGGAGCTTGAAATTCTGCAAATGTTTGACAAAAAGATGCTCTGTATAATGCTTTCTTTTCTTCAATGCTCAGTTGTTTCCAATCACCCTTTTCTTTCTCACGAAGAGCCTGATAAACAAAGTATTAACAAATAACTTACATTATTAACCATTAAATTATTCTTTCCCAATACAACTTGTAACTTTATGAAAGTTTTTTAGGCCATTATTTGACAGTGAAATATCTTAGGCTTTCTATTTAAATTATTTCTTGTGTTGCTAACACATATACTTACAATAACAGTAAATTCATCTATTAAAAATTAAATTATATCTACCTGTATGTCTGGAGTTGGCTCTTTCCACCTAATGGCAGGTATGGGAAAATCTGGCCGATCAACATAATTAGGTTGACCATTATAACCAAATCCAACAATTTCTCTATTTCCAATTAGGGCTTTTGCGGGATCCCCTTGATGGGCACCTCGAGCTCCAAACGGCGTCCTACTTGCCCGTAATGCTCTTAGAGCAAGTAGCCTACCTGCCATTATCTAAAAAAATATTGATTATATAATACAAATGTATCATACCACTAATGATATAAACTAACATTTTCTAATGCCGCAAAAAGTACCAAACCACCTGTAAATTTACAGAATGTTAATATTCATTTGTTTTAACATTAAATTTACAATTACGTGGTAACAATTTGGTTCAAATGCACATGGATAGCATAAAACTATCAAAACGCAAACAGAAAAATAGGTAACAGATTTTCTTTATAATTCACATATTTTTATTTAAAAATAATGCTGAGTTAAGCTATAAATCAATATTTATAAACTTTACTTACAATTTCCAACTTGCAAACAAAATGGTGTACTTACGAGTAGTAACTAAATTAATATTATTACCGATAATTATTATTATCATCCATAGATTATTGTTGTATTCGGTTTTCGGTTATCTATGAGATGTGTATAAGGAATGCTCTGTGGGAAAGGCATCCACGTCGAACAAAATGCTTAGTAAACGGCCATTGTAGCATTAAACTAAAAAAATCGAAATAAAAAGTGAATTTATTATCATTTCTATTGAAAATTGCGTATAAAAAATGATTAAATATAATCCTGAACATAAATAAATAAGTTATGACACCATTAGGTGGCAAAAAATAAAAATTGTGACCAAGCAGAAATTTGCAGCGCCAGACACAGTCTGCAGCTAATTAAGGTTAGCATATACGGTAGAATGTGTATTATTAATTTATTGTCAATTTTCGCAACATAAGATTTCCTAAAACATTATGCATGCGGTGGCGAACATATATTACTATTTTTGTTAGTAGACTTTCGAACCACCCGCTGTTTTGTTAGAATTGTTTTTTTTTCTGAAAAAATCAAATTAGCGCTTATAGCGCCACTACATTTGTTGACTCTATCATGAGAGTTCATAGAGAACAAAGATTCGAAGAGAACATCGGTTAAAGATTCTAGAGAAGTGAGGAAGAATAATTATAGTAAGAACAGACGTAAAATAATTACTGTTGAGTTGGTGAATTCCTTTTTCATATACTCTCTATAGGCTTTTCCTTCATAAGTTATCTATATATCGGCAAGCATAAATTGACAATTTATGAATCTATGAATTTCATATATTTTTCGGTGTTCCACGTTCTTGTCATTATCTATGCTTGTCATGTTCTTGTCCATCTTGCCATCTTGTATTAAAAACGATGCTACGTCGCCATTTTTAAAATTTTGCAACTATTTGCTTTTCGGTGCGTATTTTCATTGTATTTCACGTTTTAATTGTTTAATAATTTAGTTTATTCGTCTTTCTTCTCAATTTTTACAGATTGATGATAAATAAGAATCGAATAGTGTTCATTTTAATGTAACTGAAAAAGCAAGTTGTCTGCCATAGTTCGTTTCATTTTGGAGGATCTAATTAATTACGGTGAGCATACATGGCATAATTGGTATATTTATTTGATATTAACTAGTGTCATTGTGTCGTGTACGTTATTTACTAAGGAGGCTAAATTAATTATATCTGAATACTCATTAGATTTCATTTCACAGGAACATTAAAAAAACCCTGGATAGCATTAATTTACAGTGCCTTGGTTGTGTCAGTGTTCATTCGATTCAGAAAGTAGCTGTCTTAAAAAGAAGCACAAAAGTGCCGTTTTTCTACTGGGAACGCATACAGTGTGGCATTGCTGAAGGAAGGATTTATGATGAATGAACTGGTAAGTTAACCATATCAATTAAAAATATTAATCCTGGTCCCAGAAACTTCAATTTCTTAGGCATTTGTAACTCACTTTTATCAAACAACTTTTAAACACGTTTTAGAAGTGGTAGAAGCAAAATGTGGAACTGGCCTTTCCATCAGTGGAAAAGTTAACTTCTAACTTTAACTCCACATCTCCACATTAAAATATTACTGATTTACTTGCTTTAAAAGTTGTAATTAACCACTTTTTTGCCCGTTTCTATAGATTGTCCAAATGAGAAGAAATNACATGCATTCTCACCTTAATTAAATTAACTGCAGAAAGTAACTTCCTAAGGTGCACAGGTAGAATGAACAAGCCAAATCCAGGAGGAATACCACTTCAGACAAGTTGTTGTTTCAGTTGTTTCCAAATTAATTTCCAATTGCCTCCCCCTCACAGGTTCAAAAATATGTTGCAAGGGTAAGACGTCAAAAGCATCGGCTCTTTCAGTACCATCAGAATTAGCTGTAATTTCTTCTCACTTGGACAATCTATAGAAACGGGCAAAAAAAGTGGTTAATTACAACTTTTAAAGCAAGTAAATCAGTAATATTTTAATGTGGAGATGTGGAGTTAAAGTTAGAAGTTAACTTTTCCACTGATGGAAAGGCCAGTTCCACATTTTGCTTCTGCCACTTCTAAAACGTGTTTAAAAGTTGTTTGATAAAAGTGAGTTACAAATGCCTAAGAAATTGAAGTTTCTGGGACCAGGATTAATATTTTTAATTGATATGGTTAACTTACCAGTTCATTCATCATAAATCCTTCCTTCAGCAATGCCACACTGTATGCGTTCCCAGTAGAAAAACGGCACTTTTGTGCTTCTTTTTAAGACAGCTACTTTCTGAATCGAATGAACACTGACACAACCAAGGCACTGTAAATTAATGCTATCCAGGGTTTTTTTAATGTTCCTGTGAAATAAAAACTAATGAGTATTCAGATATAATTAATTTAGCCTCCTTAGTAAATAACGTACACGACACAATGACACTAGTTAATATCAAATAAATATACCAATTATGCCATGTATGCTCACCGTAATTAATTAGATCCTCCAAAATGAAACGAACTATGGCAGACAACTTGCTTTTTCAGTTACATTAAAATGAACACTATTCCATTCTTATTTATCATCAATCTGTAAAAATTGAGAAGAAAAATGAATAAACTTAACTGTTAAACAATTAAAACGTGAAATACAATGAAAATACGCACCAAAAAGCAAATAGTTGCAAAATTTTAAAAATGGCGACGTAGCGTCGTTTTTAATACAAGATGGCAAGATGGACAAGAACGTGGAACATCAAAAAATATATGAAATTCATAAATTGTCAATTTATGCTTGCCGATATATAGATAACCAATTCACCAACTTAACAGTAATTATTCTACGTCTGTTCTTACTATAAATATTTTTCCTCACTTCTCTAGAATCTTTAACCGATGTTCTCTTTGAATCTTTGTTCTCTATGAACTCTCATGATAGAGTCAACAAATGTAGTGGCGCTATAAGCGCTAATTTGATTTTTTCAGAAAAAAAAAACAATTCTAACAAAACAGCGGGTGGTTCGACAGTCTATTAACAAAAATAGTAATATATGTTCGCCACCGCATACATAATGTTTTAGGAAATCGAATGTTGCGAAAATTGACAATAAATTAATAATACACAATATTAATTCTACCGTATATGCTCCCCTTAATTAGCTGCAGACTGTAATTTTCCAAAGTTTACACATTCAAAAAGCAAATCACATCCTGAGTGAAGATTAACTTCCAATAATCCTTCATTTATTGACCAAGGTGTAGAAATGAATAAGAAAAACTAATTAACTACCACTATTAATGCACGTACCAGTATTTAATCCTCCTTTTTATTTACCTTCTGATTCTCATATTAAAGTCAAAATATGTATAAATTTCTGAAATGTTTCGGTTGTCTATTGAAGGAGAGTTACAAATGTCTAAACTCAGCTTTCTGGGATCTCATCTACTATTTTTAATCGATATTGTTACTTACCAATTAATTATCGTAAATTCTTCTTTTAGCAAAAACTTGCCATCTCTATCTCCAAATGAAAACGGCACTTTCACTTTTTCTTTACGACTTGGGGTACTGCCAATTTCTGGAGTAAAAGAGAACTGATACAACCAATGCTCAGCAACCACTGACATCCAGCTTTTATAATGTTCCTGTAAAATAAAATCTTATCAGAGTATTCCACAATTTACTTTCTCTAATAAAAAGCGTGCATATTACAGTGTTACAATAATCCCAAAGCGTTTTCTTTATTTACATCGAATAAGCGGAACTCTAACTTGCAAACTCTCTCTCATTTCACGGCAAATCTGAAGAAATTGGCAAGAAAAGCAAATTAACTAATATATATTATATATAGTGGGGAAGTAGCGGTGAAGTTAATTTGAAATTAGTTTAATATTACTTTTCCTGTATCTCCTTATTCTCATATTAAATATGCACAAGGTTTCTATTACGAAGTCGTTCGGGGAGGCCCTCCCTAATTCCACAAGGGTGAGAAGAAACACACACGATAACGAAACGTTGAATCATGTAGAACTCGTAGGGTAAATGCAAAGCAATTTATAGTAAGAATATGCTATAAGCTNTCGCATTTTTAAAAAAATCTAATATACATACATGGACACATATAATAATTTGGCTGCGATAAGCAGATAATTATTGTAAAAGACAAAAAAACATAAATGCATACATTTTCGTCATTGCGGACACCACAAAATTTAAAATAATGAACCTTGTACCAAACAGAATATTGCATATGCAACTTTACACACATCAATGTAAATAGGAGTGCATATATTCTTTAAATTATTTATTTAAAATTTTTTCTTCTGTCGATAAATATAAAAACAAAACAACTTTGAACGTTTCAACGAATTTATTGTACTATCTCGACAATATTCTGTTAACTTTTTGAGAAACGATCGTAGGTATGCGGTTAAAAAAATACTGACGAAATAGTACTTATAACAAAATTGTTGAAACGTTACACTGACATAGTATTGAAATACTATTAAATAAGTTGCGAGAATTCAGACTTAATAATTTTCACAACAACAGACCTATTTAATAGTGACTTTATTAGTTTGATTTTCAATGTAATTCAATTTCAAATTTCAACATTTTAGTTAGACCTAATGTCACATGTAAAATTGTAGAAGCAGTTAATACCGTCAAACATTAAGTAACATAACTAATTAATGATTTCGGAATTATTCAAATCTAATTATTTTTAATTAATATTGTCACTTACAGTTATAACGGTGTCAGCCACTCTAAGCATTGTCAATTTACAGTTATAAATCCTTCCTTTAACAGTAAGTACCACGACCATTTCCAGTGAAAAAAACCTCTCCTTCCTGCTTTCTTCAAGTACAGCAACATTCTGAAGGGAAAGAACACTGCTACAACAGTTGTTCCACAATACATGGTGTCCAGAATTTACATGATGTTTCGGTAAAATGAATTGCTATGTTAAACAATATATAAAACTTATTAATTTATGATGGTTTTCTAAATTAAAAACTTGATAATAATATGTTAATTTAAAAGTGTACACTTGTCACAAGTTTTTACTAGAAAAACAACAAAGGGTCAATCTAATAATTAATATGTATACATATGTAAACATACTTCAAAATAACTTCTAATGTTAATCCACTTTTTTGAATATATGTATATACAAAAGAATATAAACTGACCAGGAATTAACTCTAATAGACTTTACGAATTGTTTCATTACTTTTATGTTATTTTTAAAATGACCAAAATGTGTTTTTAAAAGAAATTAGTAATTAGCAAAGACAGGTTAAAACTTAATATACTGCTCCGTTATTGTACTATCAAGCAATGTTAACTGATGACTTATGATTTATCCTTGGTCTTTAGAGTGGTATTAGTACCTTGACTTATGTTAAACTGTAATTCAATTAAGGTTTATCGGCCATTTTTAAGTTGATAATTATAAATTTTAAATTAATGCATATCACTGTATACTACGTTCCTTAAATTAATCAAATATTCTCACTTTAAATAACTATACATTGTGATGCACAATAACATCAACTTGTGCTGTCGACAATTAGATAATTGTTAGAAATACTAGTGTGACCAATCAAAAATGTTATGCATTCTCACCGTAATTAACTGCATTATGTTGCAACATGTGAAGACGTCAAAAGCATTGGTTGTTTCAGTAACATCAAAATTAAATGCAATTCCTTCTCATTTCTGGGACAATCTATAGATCAGTAATATTTTAATGTAGCGATGTGGTGGTAAAGTAAACATGTATAATACAATGTTAAAGTTAATAGCAAATAATTGTAATAAAATATATCAAATATATAAAATAAGCCTCTGTTATGTTGAATATTTGAATATTTAATTTACCCTGTCTTTTATCCTCTTAATCTCATTAATTGAAGTCAAAATATACAAATAAACAGTTTGTATTAGCTATTTTAAAAGAAAATTTAAAATAAATGCTGTGTTACTTGTATTAAGCAATTAAGCTAACTTATTTGCTGGATAGGACAGTTTTACATTAATGCTCTTTCTGGTGTTTGTAAAAGGTCACTTAAAAGTTGCCTATTGAAAGTAAATTACAAATGTCTAAGAAATTGAGCTCTCTCTAATCTCATCTATTATTTCTGACTTACTTACCAATTAGATGTTATAAATCCTTTCTTTCATTCTTGCTTTATGACTTCAGGCACTAACAAATGCTATATGTAGCTCCATAATCTATAGCAACCAAGAGGTTTTTACAATGTTCCTATAAAGTAAAATCTTATGAGAGTATTCAAATATAGTTAATTTATATAACATAATGTTAACGTAAAGCAGAACGCAACCCGAACGCACTTCTCTATTTATATTGAATAAACATAACATAAACATTGCAAGCTCACCTTAATTAAATACAGAATCGACCAGGATAAAAAGTTAATAGAAATAACACCACAACAGGCAATATGTTTTTTTGTTTAGTAATATCCTAACACTCTCATCTATCGTTAACCTGCAGAAATTGGGAAGAAAAACAAATTCAACCATTGTCACATAAATAGTGTAATAAAGAATAAAAAAAAGGAATATATTGCTTGACATTGGCATTTTAATTGAGGATAAGTGATAAATAAATTACTATAGACAAGAACAGACAAGAATAAATTACTAAAAAATTACAAAATGTGTCATCCATACCCATAGATTAAGGAACACACCACAGATTAACATTAATGTAGAATACGTTAGAAGCTTTCCCGTAAGGAAAACATCAAGTGATTTAAACAGTAACCATCTTAATATTCAAAAATGTAATATACTCCGAAAATTTGATTTATTTTTCAGTTATCCACTATAAAATACGTGAAAGAAGTATTGCAACATCTACTTCTGCGGGAATATTGAATTTTGAAATCAAATTTTAATTTGCTAAAAAAAATTAGGATTAAATTGCATTCCCACCCACGTAATTTTCAATTTAATAATTTCAAATAAACAATAATTGTACTAGATTTCAGGGGTTCATAAAGAATTACTACAGAAGATGTAAAGTTGTTCTTTGTACGCTTAAATATAAATTTAAATCGTATTTATAAAGAATAAATGTTGTATACATATAAAAAATCTTTAACATATACCACATCTTATTTTCGGTAAGCGAAAACAATTAGATTGTTAAAATCAATACAGTAGGTGTTTTCATTGTAATGCAGAAACATGATGAGCTTACTAAACACTAATATAAGCAAAAATAACCACCTTTATAATGAACATGCACAATAAGAAAAGTATTCTTAACTAAATAAGTACATTTATTAATGTATTTATTTACGAATATGTACAGTGATAAAACCTAATAATAAGAATAAAATGCATACTCAGTGACGCGGTAATAACACAAATAGTAAAATATTTATAGGTATACACTGTTTACATGTAGTTTACAGAGAATCATAAAAAATCCATGTCCAGAGCGTTATACAAAGCTGCTATCTCACTGTGACTTGTTATCCTCCAAAATGGGAAGTTTAAAGCTTTTGCAGCTGCCTCTTCATCTTGACCATCACCTATCACTACATATGTACAGGTTCGACCAAATCTTGCCACTATCCGCTGAAAGCAACTTTCCTTCCCTTAAAAAATGCAAATAAAGTATTATTACTGTATTACTTACTGATTATTGTGGCCAAATTGTAAGCACTATTTACCTATTTTGGTGGCAGAATAAATATCTTCAATTGAAAACACACCTCCCAAACCAAAAAGCAGTACTTTGGCTAAAGCTGGAACTAGCTGAGTAGTTGTGACTAGGACATTTACGTTTTTACTTCGGGAATTTATAAGAGTCAAGCATTTATTAGCTAATGTCAACCAGTTGTCTGTGACAGACTCTATTTCTGCCCTTAATTGGAGCCATTGTTCTCTTTTTGTAGGTCCAAGTAAACCACCAACACTAAAATGATATGTAATATTAAATGTTAAATTTAAACGGGGAATTACTGATGATTATTTTAAAATATAAATTAACTACACAACTTGTACATGAGCCATGAAACAAAACTAAAGGTAAACATCAGTGACATTAAACCCTCAAAAAAAGGGGTAAACATTTATACAGAAAGAGCAGTGATAAAATACTAAGAATTATAAACAGGCATTTTATTAAATGGTTAATGAATACTAATGTTAAGGTTTGCAAATTACATCACAGGTTTTGTTTATACCTTCATTTTAGTAGTTGTTAGTAATAACAACTGATAAAAGATAGACAAGACTATGACATGAAAGCCCTTAATATTGTTACAAAGCAGTTCCTATTTCTAATGGAAACAGTGAAATAAAAAAGTCCAGAGAGAGTATCGTAAAACAATCTATGGAAGTTTTATAATCAAGTCTAAATTTCCAGTTGTAAAAACTGAATGCCTAAATGAAGGGGCTTACCTGTTTCTATAGTTATTATAAGTTTCTTTAATTTTCCTGTATCTGAATGCTAATTTTCTCATCCAATCCACACCACCACGAACACCAGTTCCTAAACATATATTGCCACTACCTGTAGTAGAATGGAATCCATCAGTAGAGAAGTTGTAATTACTTAAATCCTGCCCATTATCATCAGATGAAACATCATCTATATGTACTTGATCACAATCCTACAATTTTTAAAAGAATTACGTATATGTTACATATTTTTTGTGGTAGTATTTACCTCAACATCATTAAAAAAGAAATGTGTATCTGCTAAGTTAAAGACCATTTCTTCCATCCGATATCCAAGTTGCAAGACACTTTGTGCATCTTTCTGATATTTTGATGCATATGTACCAGTTAATAAACTGTGAAATATAATAATTGTTTCATCTAGGTCCCAAATGAAAACTCTATCAATAGATGATTCTGCCTTTGAAGGTGAGACTGTATTTGTTCTTCTACCCCTACCTCTTGAACCTCTGGTTTCAGAATTTGTAGTGTTTGATGAATCTCTGGATCTTCTTGAGCCATCCACTCTTAATGGTGATAAAGGTCCATCCACAAGACAAACACCATTTGTAGAATTTTCTGTAATACAACGAAAGGTTCAAACTTTCAAAAAAATATTCAACATTGATACCATCATTATCATCAGATTCACTTGTGTCACTGTATGGACACAACGAAATAGGCTTTTGCATTTAATTATGTTAACGGCACTATCCAGGCATTGGGATTAAAAATTTGTAAACTTATAAGCAGTTTCTTTTTACAATTAATTTAGACGTAGTCAAAAAATATTTATCAAATGCTCTATTTTCGAAGTAACATCCGTATTAAAAATATAAGTGATTTCTTCCAATATTGCAAACTTTTTAAATTGATCAACAACTTGCATAGGTTATGTTTGAACGGACAACATTCAGTAATATCTCCACAACCTACAACCGGTAATATTTTTTTTAAGGCTACAGGTACAATAGTACGAGAAACAGCCAACATCCTATAAGCATATATACGGTAAAAAGTGAAATAAATGATTCTACAACCTAAATATTTCAATTGGTAAAACTTCCATATCACGGCGTTTTCGAAAATGTAACTTTTTCTTGTTGGGAATGGCTTAAAATGACCTAATTATGAAAAATTTACATGAAATAATAGGGGGGGGAGGTGTTTTAAACAATTTTCTTTCTAAATAAATATTTTACAGGTGCCATACAAGTATATAACCTACGGGAACTTCGCAGTCATTTATCATAGATACCAGTCACTACTTAACCGTTTATGACTTCGCCTCTATAGTTCAAGTTGCATTCATTTAAAAGGTGATACCCGCTCAACAGTTGTTCACATAATATAAATATATACAAATTGTTACCATTCGAGGAAGGTACAGATATAATGTATGTATATAAAATAGGGGTAAGGGGACACTGTTGAATCCTTAATCTAACCTACTCATCAAGTTAACGTAATACAATACAAACCAACTTAAGCAAGGTTAAGTTGAGATATGCAACTGTACTATACTATACCTTCCTCGAATGGGAACAATTTGTATCTATTTATATCGTAAGACTGTTAAGCGGTTCACTCCTAGCTTCGCTTTTTAGCGCAAGTGTCCACCCATCATTCCCTATTCCAACGCCCCCCCCTCACCCCGAATCCCCCCACGCATAACCATTTTTTCTTCTTAATCCTCTCCCAAATCCCAACCTTCCATTTCCTTCCTGGAGATGAGTAACCCAGATGAGGGTTTATATCTCTCCACTTGAAGAAGGGGTTTTAGTCGGTAAAAATCCAACACTACCTTCCTTCAGGGGGTGTCTTTTGAAGATTTCACCTCCTCGAGAATAATCAGAAACGGCTAAGTAGTGATTATTAACTATGATAAATGACTGTGAAATTCGCATAGGTTATATAACTATAAAATATTTATTTACAAAGAAAATCGTTTAAAACACCTTCCCCCTATTTTTTTCTTTATTTTTATAAATAGATCTTTTCCAACTAATGCAGTGCTACAGGAGTTTAACCGTTAGCGGTAACTACAAAAATGAACTGTTAAGTGTAATCTAAGTGTTTATTCTCATTTAAAACTACTCAAAACACCCTCCCCCCGATTATTTCGTGTAAGTTTTTCATTATTAGGTCATTTTCAGCCATTTTCAACAAAAAAAAGTTACATTTTCGAAAAAACCGTGATGCAGAAGTTTACCTTTCAATTTTAACAATTGACGAATATATGTATTTAATTTTTGAAATCTTTAAAACTCAAATTTTCATCAAAATGCTGCCTTACACTGACAATAAACTAATCCATCCAACCATCTTAAACATTTAGAAGGGCCGCTCTTGTTTGTTTTACTTTGCACCCTTGTGGAACCTTTCACATAGCAACTCCCTCCCATTTAGGGGAAGAAACGCCCTTATCTCCCAATCGATTAGATGAGAATTCAAAACAATTCGCTTTCCACGGATGACTAGGAAAATTATACCTAATAATTATTGCTTCTCAGCAATGTTTACAATACCGAGTGGATACATTTATTCAATAAAAAGTATCAAACACAAAAACGATTATAACTTAAATTTCGTTTTACCTGGTAATGCAGAAGTGGACAGCTGATAGCTTGCAGCGGCTATACTGGTCGAGGATCCGGGCGAACTTACAAAAGGAGAATAGCTTTGAGGGCTATAATAACTAGCAGAAGCGTACGTTTGGGTATCCGAAAAAGCTGAGCCGTAGGATCCGTAATCTATTGCCTAAAATTTAAATACTATAGAATAAAAATTGTAACATTAAAATCACAACCATAAAATATATAATACTATAGATACAATGCTATCGCAGAGTAGTGGACAATTTAATTAAAATTTCAATGAGTAACTATTGGGGAAAATATGAACGTATACGAAAACGGCACCTTCGGGTAAATATATACGAAATGTCATCTTCAGGTGAAAATACGTAAATGTCACCTTCAAGTGAATATTTATACGAAAATGTCACCATCGGGTGAAAATACGAAAATGACACTTTCGGGTAAATATTTACGAAAACAGCACCTTCGGATGAGTATGCTACGACATCGTTGGATGAACATACGAAAACGTCACCTTCGGGTGAATATATACGAAACGGCACCCTCAGCTAAAAATTCGAAAATGTCACCTACAAGTGAATGTCTATACGAAAATGTCACCATCGAGTGAATATATGAAAATGACACTTTCGGGTGAATATTTACGAAGACGGCACCTTCGGATGAGTATACTACGACATCGTTGGATGAACATACGAAAACGTCACCTTCGAGTGAATAAATGAAAACAACACTGTTGGGTGAATATGTACGGAAACGGCACCTTCGGATGAGTATACGACATTGTTAACTTTGGGTAAATATACGAAAACGTCACCTTCGGGTGCTGTCATTTAAAAGAAATATTGACAAAGTCATACGTCCTACACCAATCAGTCCGTATGTACAAATTTCATTTGAAAAAATGCGCAAATAAATGTAAATTTTGATAAGTTGGGGTGTATTTCACTCCTTTACGATAGCGCTATCATCATCATCATCATCATCATAAGGTCATCAGTCCTAAGACTGGTTGGACACGCACCTCCACTCTTTCCTATCCTGAGCTAAACTTCGCATTTCCCTAAAACTAGNCCCAAAAATTTTATGAGCGTGGAATTATGCTACTACCAGAAAGATGGCAAAAGGTGTTGGACCAGAACGGTCAATATATAATTTAATAATGATTTGTTTATTATACGAAAACTGTCTTTCATTTCCACAAAAAAAAACGAAATGACTTTCCGAAGAACCCTATAGAAAATTTATTACGTTTTCTTTAATCGCTTGTCGATTATTTCGATTGTAAAATTATTCCGTAATTGCGCTTCACTATGGTGAATGCGCTGGACAGAAAGAATTCTTTATTCTAATTAAAAATACAGTTTGTTATTTTCACAAGATATATTATATACGTATACTCAGAGAACCTCTAACAACAATTTCGATTTTTAATCGTTTTCAATGATCCAAACAATACAAGAACAATTTTGTCCCAGTTAGTATCGCAATTTCTATTGATTTCATTAAAATTTCTTACAATACATTAAGTAGCTATCTACAGAGTGTAATAATGGAAATAAACCGCGGTTGCAGGAGGTGATAGAGCACTATAAAACATGAAAATTAGGTAAATGTTTATATGTTCGCAAGTTCATCATTTGAAAGTACAGGTAAATTCAATTCCGACCCTGGTAAAGAAATACGTCCACGCAACGCTGCACTTATTCAGCTGGTGATTATTTCTTTTGTATTTTTTTTCTCATGTATTCTTTATTTTTTAGATTCCCACTCCCAGTGGTTTGAAGGAGAGATAAAGGCCTTTGCCTGCCTACATCTTTTTTGTGTTACCCAGTCCCTATAGAGCCCTGAAGCGACCCATCCCTACATTTTTAAGTATATTGCCTCCCTATCACTCTCTTTTTTGTATTAAAAATTTCTTAAAATTTGTGTTTTTGTAATATATAGTATTTATAATTTAATTAGAAAAAAAGCGATAGAAGGTACTCTATACCCATACACACTATTCAATGTTTTTTTTTATCTCAAATCTCACCAGTGGCTATCAAAACTTAACAACTGAAAATTAAAAAATTTGCCAATCGAACGACTCATTCTTAATGCAAACATTGTTAAGTTAGCGTATCGACCTATACATTAGATTGTTAGTGATTATTGCACTATAAAGTGAATGAATTAAAACACTGATCCGAATAAAGGTTGATAAAAATCGTAATTTAAAAAAAAATCAAAATTGGTTATTAAAAAATTACGATTTTTTTTACATTTTTTAGAAAATCTAATTTTCGCTAGCTTTCAAGTTGTTATTAAAAAAAATACATGTCAAAGATCATCGACGACCACATAAAACTAATTTTTCTATCCTTCGGGACAGTATTTTTTTGGATACAAAGTACCCTGTGTTCTTTTCTATACTCCTTTAAATGTATGCACTCGCTCGCATTGATGTCATAAATACGTGTCAAAGATCATCGGTGACCATATAAAAATAATATTTCTAGCCCTCGGGAACAGTATATATTTTTGGATAAAAGGTAGCCTATGTCCTATGTCCTTTTTTGTACCCCTGATAATGTGTGTACAAAATTTCATGATGATCGGCTGAGTAGTTAGTTAAGGCGTGAACTGGTACCAAACAAACAAACATTCGCATTTATAATATTAGTTAGGATTTCCTATTTTTTAAAAATTCTAGTTTTTCATTAGGTACCTACGGTTCTCTTTTTTGTATTAAAAATTTCTTAAAATTTGTGTTTGTAAAAAGTAGTTAAATCATTTT